AAATGAAAAATAGATTTACCCAATGTTCTGTCTTTCTTTATTTCTCTTAAATACTTTCTTCTCAATCTTTGATCATTCTATTAGCTTGTTTTCCAAAAGTGAAGTTCAGCTCTTGTAATGTCTTCCATCTATATTGTATTTGGTAAATTGTATTTGGTAAATTTTTTACGTTTTCAATTATGAACTATTTAAAATTTATAAAGTATATAGTCATGTGAACCCATTTACATTGATCTGGTATCAAAATAGATTAAGAAAAAACTTAAAATGAGCTATTTTATATTACATGCATATGACCTATTGAATGGAACAAAGTTATTTACTGTTTTTTCTATTTCAAATCAGTGAAGAGGAACGCCGAAAATGAATGTTTCTGCTTTCTCTCTCATTACCATCAACTTTTTTTTAGAGAGATTAGTTTTGAACGGAAAAGCTGCACTATAATCCTCAATGGTGGACTTCGAAGTTTCGGAAGAGAAAGTTCATACAAAAACTGATTTCTTTCAAGAATATAATCCTTTTTCGATTCTTATGACAGGGATTGAATCAAATAAGCGTATTAATATCTATGAGTACTGTCATTATAATATAGTAGATTTATCTCTTTCGGTGACATAAAATATTGATATTATGAATGAAATGGGTGCTTCATCTTGTAATATTATACAGAATGGTTCTGATGAGGTAATAAGACAAATATCTTATTCTAAAACTTCGAAGTAATTGAAGATGCCAGTGTTTCATAGTTTCATTTAAATACTACCTGATTCAATTCCTTAACGAATGCTCAGGGTACAAAATAAATAAAAAAAATGATTTTCGTATAATTCAATCTCCATATGAACGTAGTTGTTTCGACAGTTTTTTCCCTCCTGTAATTCAATATAGTTTCGGGGGGATTTGTTTCCAGCTGGCATCAGACTTCTGATTTTCATGCATAAACTACACATCTTTTTGAAGAGTTCATTTTGAACTTGTTGTTTTTTTATAGATATGAAAGGAAAGAAATCTTGTTTCATACTGTGTATAATAATTGGTTCAGTATATTCGTAAAAAAAATGAGTTTTCATTCTTAACCCACCAAACTACGTAGACAACCTTCCAATCGAAATAAACAAAATTTTCATAAATTACCATTCTACAATTTTTTTTTTCAGGTTTGATATCAATGATTTTCTTAATCATATCGTTGGTTCTTGGAATGGCAGTGAATTATCCAGATTATACTAAAAAAGTTATTGACTTAAGGCCTGTATGGTATAAATTCTCCCACAACATTTTGGGCATCATAGGATACGCAATCGGGATAATAAGTCTCTGCTATGCATATTTCACGCATTGGTTCGCGTATTACAATGGAGAAGAATCAAGATGGACAGCTCTGATCATCACGATATTTATTTCTCTATGGCCTCTCAATGGAGCCTTTGTGTCAGCCTACAATCAAATAAAAACAGTACTGAGCTAAAGAATATTTGACTTATTTAAAACCACATCGCAAATAACGTTAGTTACGAATAGAGTGTACATAAATGGATCACTGTTAGTGAAATTCATTACAACATAACAAACGCGATGTAACCCCTCCAAGTGGAAAATAATTTCAGAGTATGTCTTGCGTGAGTTTCTGGGAAAAAGGAAGCAACCAGAGGTGGAAAAAGTTATTAACGTGGCCCATAGAGTGAGACGCCGACTAAAAATATGTGAAATATAGAAATCCATTTTTGGCCGTTTTCTATAATCTACTATATGACTATTTGTGAGTTTTCAGAGCCAGAAGTTTTTTCTACTCCATTCAATATGAAAATATATTCACCTAGTGTACGATCAGAAACGTGTTAAGGAACTTATTAATACAAAATTCGCATGGCAACTAATGAATTGCCTTATTTTGATAAAGAGGAAGCTAAGTTGACTGGAAAATAAATATTATATTATTCGTTGATGTACCGCTATAAGGTTTTATGTACTAGGCAATACATAGGCACATACTTTAAAGTTTGGGTTTCGTTGATTTTACATGTATTAGAATAAAAATCACAACATGCTCTGTGGGATTCAGTGACACGATCTGTTTATTTCTGTATTTGTGTGAATCATTCAAAAAAAAAATCCCAAAGTGAATTTTTCCCCAAGTCCTTTTACATTCGGGCAACATTAACCAATGATCTCTCGCATATCGTGAGTTAAGTATTATTTGGCAGTCTCCAGAAGGTACAGCTTTGTGCTTTGTGCTGATTGACATAAGGAATTTCTGTATCGTAACCATGGTGGAGGAGGTGTTGAAGACACCATGATGGCGAGCAATGACGAATTCTTTGGTTTAAGATAAGCAAAATGCTTTGATGAGCAAAAGTTAACTTTGTCGAAGAAAACCACACGCACCTATTCATCGTTGTAGTTGTATGTATCGTTGTAGAAAAGTAGTCTGTTGTTTTGACATATATGTGGTTACTTTGTGTAGCCAAGCAAAGTTCATCGGCTGCTCGGACAGCAGTCTCAAAGAGCTGTCCTTCCATATGCAAACAAATCATGCAGGATACAAAATTGAACCACCTGATGACTTTCTGTTGGCTCCATCATGTGATTTTCTGTTATGAAGACACTCCAAAGTCCAGGACCTTTCTGTTGTAAACAGAACATGAACGTGAAACAGTCGTGTAGAGCAGGGATGAGCCACCTTTTCAGTCAACGGGCCAATTTGAATTTTGACATTTTTTGGTGAGCCGCACATATAGTAACACTTATTGATAATTTACACTTTATTCATGATAAACAATATAATAGATAACATTTAAATTTAAAAATGTGATGATTTCATTCAAATTTTTTATTCGAAATGAAAGCAAACGAGACAGGAACAGAAAGAAGAATTTATTTAAAAAAATGTATAATAAATTTGGCACTCTTTCTTCGATACAAGCTGATCAATATCAGCCAGAAATAATGAGGTAGCTACACGTTCGCAACTTTTTAATCGTGCATCACTCAGCCTTGATCGGTAGTCATTTTGATTAATTTCATGATTGAAAATAGTTGTTTGCAAACATACGTACTTTCAAACAGAGACATAATTTGCTTTGAATTTTTCGTCAAAAGCGGATATTTCTCAAGGATCACCTAATATTTATAAAAATGTTTCTCTGAGTGATGGACAAAAAGATCATTTTTGTTCGCTCAGTTCACAGGGGGCATTTCAGTTGTCAAAATTGAAGTATCCAATTCATTCTGTTGTATGGTCCGCAGACTATTCATTATTCCACTGCCGGAAATTCATTTTCAGACAGAACGTGGTTTACAGAACAAATAATATTAAATATTCATTAAAAACACTAAAAAAAGTCAGTGTCGAATCGATCAAAAGTATGTAAGTTGACTTGTTCTTGCACAAAACTTCATATTGGCCAAACGGGGTGAACGTTTTGCTATAGAATGAAAGAAGGTGTGAATATTTTTTCGAATATGAAGATCAATTCTACATTTGCAAAATATCTTTTGGGAGAGTGGTATGCGTTCAATCATGACTATAACGTGTAACTTGGAAGAGAAAGGTTTGGAATACAAGTGTATGTAGAGAGCCTATATTGTTTAAATTGGTAATTTATAAATCAATCAGTCGGTAGAATTGAGTTAGTATGAATACGCCTGAAGAAGCTATTAAATAGATTTCATCTCATACACCGGATGTATTACACTTTCAGCTTATACCACCAAACTTGGGTGAATTATTTCTTACAATTTGTTTTTTAAAATAAATCAAAGATGATCGAACAGCTGAATAAAGCTAATGATTGCTTTGGAAATATGAATATTCATTGAGGTAGAAAAATAAATCATTATCCACCTAGAATGAATCAGCAGGGCACGAATAAAAAATATTATCCTCAGGGGCACTAGTGAAATATCATAACAAAAACAGCAAATATTTAAGTGCGAGTATAAATTTCTAGTATTTGAAAGTATATCTTCTGGTCCTGACTTTTCGGAAGTACATTAGGAAGTGAACAGGCCGTTTTTTAAGAAGAAAAAAGTTTATGTCAAATCACTTTTAACCATCTATGGTTAGAAGCGTTCGAGAAATCTCATTAAATGTTAAAATTGCCGTTCATCGTTCCTTTATTACTTATCCACTTTTGCAATAGTATTTTCATGGTAAATATAATTCCTCCGACAGAGATCTAAAAAACTAAGGACCTATAATCTTGATGTCTAGCACACCAAGCCAATGCATTGAACATATCTTTTGCATGGCTGACGTCTCCCAACGTACAATTACCCATATAAAATTAGAGATCCAGTAACATATATCAACACAACATCTCGCGTATACGAAAAGCATATCAACATTCTCGTCATAAGAAAGAAATAATTGTTTTTCCTCACAAATTCACACGAATTGAATAATTATTCACGTTCTCAACAGAAAATTTGACAAATATACATATTATGTTAATTCATGGCTCACGTTAAACAAATCAATTCATTTCAGTACTCTCAACAAATTTTTTCTACTATTTTCATTTGCCAGAAAACATCGGAAATAAATACTTATATTTCATAAAAATGGTATTTTTAACAGTTCTTCCATATTTATATAAAACCCCTGGAATGCAGGGGCGTTTATTCGAGATTTGTGTAGTTGTGAAGTACACCCGGGACGAACTTTCGGCATGTGATACCATCCGTGAAGAATCACGCTAGAACGTATTCTTTGCTATAAACCAACCAAAACTAATTTGCAAACAGGTTGATAATTGCAACACCTGACGAGCTATATTTGAAGGATATCAAGTCAAATAACCACGAATACCAAAGATATATGTAGTTCCAAACACCGATTTTATTGTGGACAGAAGAAATCAAACGTTGCACGTATGATACAGTCTCATACCACTGATGACATCTAACAAATCAAAACAGCACTTTCTAGTTCTTGAATTCAACATTTGAACGTTACTCTTGACGATATTCCAGTAAATTATCACAACAAACAAAGCAGAAATTAGAGAAAAGTTTTATTTTTTATTGAATGACTAATAAATACATATATTCTAAAAGTAATACTTATTTTCGTACAATCTAGTTTAATATTATTCTGATGGTGTTTAAAGAATACAATCAAGATTCAATCAAATTAATAAAACAATTTGGCAAGTGCATAGTAGAACGTCAATTTGGCTCTAGATACAATTGAATCAATTTGGCAATGCCAACCTAAACAGAGAACACATTAAGTAATCTCGCACCTTCCTTAACCTAGGGTTATTCAATGGAGAAACAATCACAGACATCTATTTAAATCATAAGAGAGTATTTTTGTGATTTTGTGATGATACTGTAATAATTTCCACAAATACACCATACCAGGGTGGACCCAGAAGTACCCGGCCTGACCTAGAGATGACGGTAGTTGTTTGGAAAATATCACTGTATCCGAAAGTACACAGTCTATAAAGCATTTGTTTCAAGTTTGAAGGCGCTACGTTCCTTAGTATTTGTTTGGCAGCCATCAATAGCAAACGTTTTCACTGAATTTGTGAAAATGGAAAAAAATGGTCATCGTTATGTAGTACAATACTTTTACTTCAAAGGCTTCAGTCCAACCAATATAAAAGCAGAAGTGGATTCTATTCGGGTGAGTCTGCTCTTTTGTTTACAATAGTAAAATATTGGGTAACAGAGTTTAAAAATGGCAGTACGAGCTGTCAATACGAGCATCGCAGTGGTCGACCAATTAAGAAGATGACTCCAGAAACTGTGAAAAAAATCCACAAAGCGGTACTGAATGACGGTGGCCTGAAAGTGCGCGAACTAGCAGGCTTAGGTATTTCAAAAAGTGCGGTACATAGTATATTATCTGAAAATGTGGACATAAGCAAGCTGAGCGCAAGATGGGTGCCGCGTTTGCTCACAGTAGAGTAAAAACAGTGTCGCGAAGATGTTTCAATCGAGTGTTTCGAGAAGTTTCATAGCAACAAAGTAAAATGTTTGCGCTGTTTCACTACCATGGATGAAACATGGGTCCATCATTTCACTCCCGAGGCAAAAAGAACAAAGAAAATAGTGGACTCAAAAGGAAGAACCGGCATGGCATCGGTTTTTTGCCCGTGAGATAATTTTCACTGAATATTAAAAAAAGGGAAACTATCAACAGCGAGTGTTATGCGAACTTATTGCAACGTTTGAGTGAAGAATCAAGCAAAAACGATGGCATTTGGCTAATACAAAAGTGCTGTTTCGTCAAGACAATGCACCAGCTCACAAATCTATCATCACAATGACCAAAATAATCAAAATGAAGTTTGTATTGTTACTTTTTTCACCCTATTCGCCAGATTCAGCTCCCTTTTATTATTTTATGTTCCTAAACTTGGGAAAATGTCTCAGTTGTCAGAGACTTTCTAACGATGAAGAAGTGATGTCTGCAGTTAAGTTGAGGAGCAAGCAGTTCTTACTATAAAAAGGTTATCGAACTTATTGAACATCGCTGGGAAGTGTATAGAGCTTCAAGGAGATTATGTTGAAAAAAAATACAATTTTGTTGGGCCGGGTACTTCTAGGACCACCCTCTGAAACCACAAACTGACCTTAATTGACTACACATGGCTTCTATGAATGTGACTTCTTAAATATATGAGTCAATGTCTGTCAACCATATACGTTTCTCCAATGTAAAAGGAAAGTATTGGTTCACATTGATTCTTCAAGTGGTTGCTGACATTGTGTTCATTTTCTGAATGCCAATTCAAATGAAGAAAATCTTCATAGTATTTTCCAATAATTTTTTTAGTATAAACTTTTCAGATGAATATTCCTAATGAAATTCACTTCAACTAGCTTCAAATTTGATTTTTTTTACAAATTGACAGTTTCATAAACCATAATATTTAGTTTAATATATTAAAAAAAAAGGCAACTTCAATACAGTCCATCTCATTGTTCTAAAATCAAGAATTTAACAAATTCTTTCTTTATTTCAGATATAAGCCAATAGGTGCTTGTGATTCCAATCAATTCAAGGAATCTGTTACCCGAGAACTGAAGTTCCTAAATGAATTCGAAATTTTGTATACTGATAACAACAACGATCCGACATTGATTCAAATAATCATTGAGAGTCTTCAGTTCCGGGTACGGTACATACTTAAATGAAATTCAAATTAACATCAGTCAGAAGTTTCCCTATGTCTAATTTCAAGACGCTTCTAGATTTTAAGTATTCCAAACAAAGCGAGTAGATTCAGACAGAAAAATTATTATTGAATAACAAAAAAATCATTTGAAGTATTTGATGATGGCCATACTCAGCTTGTTAGTCGCAAAATGATTTGAACTCGAGAAATAGTTCTTAAATAATTTAATCTGGAAGCGTCAATTAAAATGTGGGGTACAAAATATCGGAGTTATTTTGAAATGGGTCACTCATACATTATTTTACATTCATGCTATCATTCGAATTCACTAAATATTTCAATCGATATTTATCAACTTCAGTACATATTTTGACTACACAGTTCTATTTATTCCAATCACAGCTTGTTACTCCAGAAGATCTTTAGCCCTCCTGCAGGATTCGCAACAGTGGCTTACATAGTACGGGTAATGACACAGTCTTGCCTGCAGTGCCAACTTGCATTTGTTAATTCTATCCACACAAGATCCTGGAAAATGAAAAACCAAATGAATGAAGTATTTTTTCAAAAAATGAAATATTTCAATCATGTTTTCTGCCACGTATAAATATATTTACGAACAAAATTGTTATATACAACATTAGCTTCTACTTTAGAATCATGTTTGGTAGAGTTCAAAGAAAGCATACTCCCATTGAACAGTCGAAAAATAGTAATTCAGTTGCTAGAGGGATCCAATCTACATTCACTGAGCTAGTAATGACTTTTTTATGTTAGGTTAGGTTAGGTCCAAAGTGAGTGGGTCTATTCGACCCACCACCGCAACCCGCAAGGGTTTATTATGGCTCACACCTATTCACACTCGACCAAATAAACCCAGCTTCTTAACGAAGCCGATTAGTTTGTATGGTGAGTGGTTTTTCAGGTCAGATGGTGAGAGTACGGCTCTGCCGAACTCTAAAAACCTGATTCGGTCCCCAGTGGGGTAGGCACAAAGTATGTGCTCTGCTGTTTCATCATTCTCGAAACAAAGGCGACACAAACTGTTCATCCCTACTGTAGTCCAACAATTGTTTGGTTTCAAGCTTCTAAGGGTGAATAAACGCCTTGGAGTGAGCCAATCCTGGAAGATTCTGCCAGAAGTCCATAAATCTTCTTGCCATCCAGGTGTTCAATGTTGGTTTGGCAAATCCTAAATCGATGCCAATGACAGGTTCTGGTCCGATAAAGCTTCCTTCTTTTGCAAGGAAGCCAGCAGCCTCATTGCCTTCCAGGCCAGTATATGGCCAGGTATCCAGACGAGAGACAATCTGTTGAGTCTCTCTATCGAGGAGAGTCGTTTTTGGCAATCAATCGTTTTTGAGAATCGAATAGTTTCAATCGAACAAACAATTGAGACTCTAGAAATTTCACGATTAGTTCACTTTTATATGATAAAAAAACAAGATTTGTTTTTGTATTTTTGAGACAGATGAAACTTCCTCAATATGCAAAAAAATCTTCGGTAACACGACCAACTTAAAGTAACATCTGAAATTACATCCAGTAGCGAGTGACCTAATGCTGGGATAATATTGAAAATAGATCAGATATATGTAGAAGGGTTCCACTTTCAATATAGCAAATATTCATTCCTTCTCTCTTATTGTAGAGCTTGTACATTACTCTATTCATTTCAGAAATATCAGCTTCGCTCAATTGACGACTCTGGAATTTTGGATTAGGCATAACTTGATATTAATATACACCAATTTTTCTTAAATTATTCTTCGAATAACCTATAAATCTAGGAACATCAAAGTTACGACCGTTAGTCTGCTCAAAGTATTCGATTCCTTTTAGTAGGTATTTGAGATATATCGAGAGCTTGGAAGTATCAAATAATTTGATACTAAGTAGTCGATTCCGTCTATCACGTTTTTCAATGTAATCTCTATTTTAGGATGTTAACGATGCTCAAAATCATCTGCGTTCACATAATTCCAAAGGAGCCGAAATTTCTTATCTGTTTTCGCCGGACTGACCCACATAATGTCTGCACAGCATGGAACAGTGTCACATCCAAAAGATGCAGCCGATGAGGCATTCAAAAGTTTTCAGGAACTCCGAGGATGCTGCATCTCTTGGTATCAACCAATACACTGCTTTCTTCATCCCACCCCATTTCAAGAGATTTTATGCTTACTCAATCACCCCATTTACCTCTGGTTATTTGTTCTGAGTGAATAAAAAGTAAACCGTTTTTGTCATTGGAAGATCTTGGCTCCTGCCGAGAAACGTCAAAATTAGTAGCAAATTGCCAAAAACGACTCTCTTCGATAGGAAGACTTAACAGATTGTCTCTCGTCTGGATTTCTGGCAATACTGTTCTGGAAGGCAATGAAGCTGCTGACCCCCTTGCAAAAGAGAACTACCTTGCTTCATCGGACCTGAACCTGTCACTGACATCGCTTTAGGCTTTGCCAAACATAGATTAAACACCTGGATGGCAAGAAGATGTATGGACTTCTGGCAGAATCTTGCAGGGTGTGCTCACTTCAAGGCGTCTATTCACCCTTCGAAGCTTGATACCAAACAAATGTTGGACTACAGTAGGGATGAACTACGATGTCTAACAGGCCTTCTTTCAGATCACTGTAATTTAAATGATCATATGCAGAGAGTCGGACTGTCGGAAGACAGTGTGTGTCGCCTCTGTTTGGAAAATGATGAAACAGCAGAGCACGTACTTTGTGCCTGCCCCGATGGGGACCGAATCAGGTTTTCAGAGTTCGGCAGAGCCGTACTCTTACCATCTGACCTGAAAGACCACTCACCGTACAAACTAATCGGCTTCGTTGAGAAGCTGGGTTTATTTGGTCGAGTGTGAATATGTGTCAGCCACAATAAACCTTCGCGGTTTGCAGTCGAGGGTCGAATAGATACACTTACTTTGGACCTAACCCATCCTAACCACAATTAGGTTCTATGGAATGTAAGCAATTCAACGAAATAAAAAAGTGACTATTTTGCTTGAATCATTCTATTATTTCTGATCTGCAGAGGCGGCGTAATGTGTGGGCGGTTTGGGCCACCACCCACGGACACGTGGTGAAAAGGGTCTCGCGCATCAAATCCAAAAATAAATAAAAAAAAATACATTGGAAAATGCATTATAACATTCTCAACCTTCGTCGCACAAAAGCATATGAATGAAAAATTCGTGAATATATTTCTTTTTCTGATAAACTATATTATATTAAAAACATCAATTTATATTAATTAATAAAATTGATTAACTAAAAAATTATCATTTTTGTCGTTCCTTTATGTCGTTTTTATTTAGTCTGGCAACATTATTTGACGTTCAGCTCCTATTGTGGGGAATCCCCGGTCATGGACCTCGGGACTTCCCCTTAATAGAAAGACATTCAATGTATCGCATGCAGACGCAGTCTAGCTTCATTTTCCTATATTATAATTTATCTAATAGATAAAAATGAATGTTTGTTGGTTGGTTGGTTGGTTGGTAAGTGATAAACTTCTACATCGCTCAACCGATCGTGATGAAACTTGACATGAACAAGTAATTTTTCATAGAGAAGGTTTATAGGCTATACATTTTTCTGTAACTCGCCACTAGATGGCGCTGTAGAACAATTTTTTTGAAAGCACTGTTCTATAACGCTGCGCACGCCTAGGTTCGTTGATTCTGATTCTGTCAAAACATTGGAACAGGAGCGATACAACAACATAGTACTAGTAATTTATAAAAGTATGTGACAATGAATAATAGTGTCGTGAAAAAAAATGTGTTTATTTTATTTATCAAGAGTAAGATAAGAAGTATTCATTATACTCACACTCATATTTTTTACACTTTTCTTCACAAAGCATGACACGATTGAAAATCATGTACATTATTTGTTTCATATCTACCATTTGTTGCGGTAGAATCCACCTTGTATTTTTCATTATGCGTTTCATATTATATTAAACATATATTCCGTTAGTGAAAACTATGTCCCGTTCAGTCAATAAGAGAGAGACTAAAAGGGGGAAAATGAATCTGATTCAGCGAAAAAAAAAGAAAATTTTTGTTTCTTTAATTAAAGTAAAGTGAGTAATTAGCCGCAGTTTCCATGACTTTGACTGGGGTTTTAGTACGGCGACCAAAACATGTTTTTTTGTTGATTTCAAGTCGAGTTTTTTTAATTTGTTGTTTAATATTCCGAAAAAAGTAGAAATTTTGGTGAGTGTTCCTTAATAAATAAAAAATTGTTCCATTTCAAATTTTTTGCACCATTATAGGACCTCGCGAAATGTACTTTGCCCATATTAAATTTAGGTCTTGCGCTGCCAATGCTGATCTGTACCTCCTTTATATGAATCTGAAATATCATAAGGAACCTGTGTACTATCTGGGTAGTTATTTTATTCAAATAGAAAAATATACAAGGTGTTCCATTCGGAAAAGGGGAATACTACTGAGTATTGTTTCCAAAACTTGAGATATTGATAAGGATCATAATAATTTTGGCTAAATATTCATGAAAAATTATTCCTTAATATCTCTACAAACGAAACTAGCTATTATGTAGGTAAAAAGTCCGCAAAATGAGTTTTCAATAATTTGGCATTATCGCCACAGTTTTTCGGAAACTATTTTCTCAGTGAGCTGAAGGAATATAGACTATAAAGATATAAGTCATCATAAACCATACTATGGAAATTGAGTACTTACGATCCACTGGTTCGTCTTGTACAGGCTTAGACCTATCCCTGTTATCGGCTTTACTTTCGCAAGCGCAAGTCCTCTTTGCTACAGGCATGTCATTTTCCGGACAACCATTGGCTTGCCTTCCGTGAATATCCAAACATCTCACTTCTCGTCTCTGAACCCCGATGGGGCACGTGCCCTCGCAGGTTCTCCAGTCGCCAAAGAACCAGTGAGAAGGACAGACTCCGTCACAAGGTTGTTCTTCTGAAGGTTTAAGATGTCCTGGACAGGTCATTTCGTTAGTTATATGCGATCGTCCTCTGATTTTGACGACACAGAAAACTTCTCGTTTTTGCAAGGCACTTCCAGAACAAGAGTCTGAGCAGGTGCTCCATGGTCCTATAAAAATTTGTATCATCAGAAGTGACTCAAAGTTGATGGTACACTATTCGACATAAATTGTACTTATCAAAATTAAATTCTAAATCAACAATCAAACATTTTTATTTATTACGGCCCTTTTTTGTTTTTTTCAAATTGAACGCGTGATCTGTGTGTTATATTTATCAACTTTTGTCTTCAATATCCTATCATGATTTGCAATTTCTTTTCCTTTTTTCGATTACTATGCTTTTGTTTATTGAAATATTACTGAAACGTGCTTAGCAAAAATGATGTGTGTTCTTGTCACTACAAAAGCAGGTTTATCAGTTTTAAAATGTTTGACCTGATGTCCAAGAATTGAGAGTGTAATTGGTAGCCCAGTGTGTAATATTCATTTCTACCGATGAAGCTACGGTGTTAGCGTAACGCGTAAGTAACGGGTCAGTTCAATCATTATTATTTCCTAAGGTTCAACTGTTCGAGCCCTGTCCCCGAAACCCCCATACATTCGGTAGGGCGCGCCAGCATTATCAATTAATGGCCCCTATCCACACCATTGGTCCGAGGATCATGTATACATTTGTCTGGTCAAAATGTCTGTCTTAGTGCGGAAAGCCGACATCATCTTCAGATTCAAAAGTACAGAGGGCATCGTTCCACTATATAAGAACTCCAATTATTAGAACCATCATTTCAACAGAATGCTGGATAGAGTATATTTGGTTCGAAGAGATAATCTCAATATTTCACTCATTTTTTATCCTTCTTCCATTATTTTTTCCTGAGGTTGTGCTGGTCGGGGCCTATCCCCCGAAGGCCTGATACATTCAGGAGAGCGAGCCAATATTAACAACCAATGACCACTCCCCCCACTGTGGGTAAGTGATCATTGAGTCCGAGAATCATGTGCTCTATGCAAGCGCAGTATCTAGGAATTACAGCTTCCTGCATTTGTCCAGCCAAAATTTTTCCCTTAGTGTAGCAAGCCGGCATGATCCTGAGGTCAGCTGATTCAAAGAGGAATGCTTCAATTCCTGTTCTCTCATGGTCGCGGATCATGCAGAGAGGGAGATTAGAACTCCTGACTTTAAAGGCTCCATACAGTACCATTCTGTCCTGTAGATACTTCAAATTGAAAAATCCACTGTCTTCCTGTTGTCGAGGGAAAGTACAACTGTGAATCGGACGATTTAGGATGCAAACTTCTATGAAGTTGCATCATTCTTCGGGTCTTTACGTTGAGTTGATACAGCTTTATCCGAGTTCACTCCACTACTCCATACGAGTAGTGAAGTACTATTATGATTATTATTGATTTTTTCAACGCAGGGTAAGCTGGTCGGGTTCCCTGTGGTTCCAATACATTCGGAAGGGCGCACCAGCATCATCAACCAAATACCACTCCCCACACCGTGGGAGTGATAACGAATGAAACATCATATTTTTCGGATTCCCGATCCTTCATTTTATTAAAAAAACCTCAATATTTCATTTCAATTATTTATCAATAACTCTTATCCAGATCCTCTGTTGAAGAAGATCTTATTTAGTACGTCTAAGATAATATTAACAACAACCAGTTGGATCAAACTCCTTTGCAGTATAATAATAATACAAATGAGATTACTCCACCTTTATACCATATTTTATTTCCTTTTTTATCTTATATCGATGATGTGACATCATGCAGAATTTTCAGAAATATAAATGTTTTTTGTTACTTTTCTTTTTGGTAGATTGATTATATTGACTTATTTAATTATATTGACATGCATTATTTCTATAAATTTCATTTCTTTTTGAGACGGCCATTCTCACCAACAAGTAAGTTTGAACATTTTTGTTAATAAAAAAATTACTATTAGCATATAACTTTGTCTAGCTTGAAGCTAATAATAAATTTTATTGAAATTAAAAAAGGACTGATAGAGTTTTTTTGTCCAGATGCATGAAGTTGAAGATCGTCCATATGAAACAAATGGTTGACTTTATGCCTCCGGGTTCCGGGGGTGTCTCGGGCGTGGGATGCAGAAAAGAAGGGAACTGAGGGAATAGCCCTAAAATACACCTCTCCAGAAATTACTCTAACCTGAACAGATGTTATGAAGAGAATACATCAGATTTGTTCGAAGCATCCCACCATTTTGTAGGGTACTGCAAGGCATCTGAGCAAACTGAAGATGGGTTAATGCCTTGTTCTATCAAATGCCTTGCGGTAATCGATCGAGGCCGCGGAGATTTTAGACTATGAGTCCAACCTATATGAGTCCTGAGTTACACGTGTATTGATGGGCAGGTTCTCTTCACATTAGGCGACAGTCTCTCTTCGAGCATCTCTACTCATATTTTCATTCGAATACTTGGTCAATTTCTGTGAGCAGTCGTGTGTACAACATGCCCGTAAATTTTGTAATTCTCAGAGAGCCAAATCATGTTGAAAACAGGGTGTGAATGGAATGAGCGAATGGAAAGAAGAAAGAAGGATGTAGTTGACAAGATGAAAATAAGTAACCAGTGTTAGTATAACCATCGTCAATTGATGAGCGGCGGAACAAGAGGTTAGTGATGAATTTAAAGGGCGCAGACTCTGCTGATCCTAATGGCTGCCTTAAACAATGTACATTATTGAATTATAAGAAAAATATATTTTTTGTTTTCTTCAGTACAGTTCATTGATATAATTACGTAATGAAGATAAGAGTTTCTTTATTTTCTGATTTCCATCCCTCCAAAATTGAAGTAACTTAGCATTTGGTTTCCGAAACGAACTGGTGTTCCTTTGAGAATGGTGAGTTAAGACCATGGGGTCATGGAAATTTTCCTTTGAGACTGTCATTGAATGTGAATGACGTCATGACATTTGAATTTCCGTTGTCCAAAATGACATTGTGTGTGTTTGTGAAGGGGTAGATTGCATACAAGGTAATAACAGGGTTTAACATTGTGCGGTCGGGTATGGCGGTCGAAATTTTTCAACATGATTTGTTAATTTGTTCTTCAAGAATTTGGAGTTTATCATTAGGTGAAAACTTAATCAAAACAAAATATAAAACTCTTCCTTAGGGATATTCTCAGATAAAAACTCACCTGTAAACCACTGACCATCACACTGCTTATCACTGGAACATGCTCTGGATAGCTCGGGTTGGACATCATCCTTACAACTGTCTCTATCTTGATAAGCACACACTGCGAACCTTTTCTGAGTACCTGTTCCGCAGTCTTCTGAACAATGCGACCATTCCGTTGTCAACCATACTGAAATGGATCTGTGACTCGCAGCTGAAGTATGTGAATCGCTTACTGGTGGAGCAGGTACATTGCAGGAACCAACGTTGCAATATTCCGCATGCGGAGGGCGATCCTCTGGTCTACACCTACCTGATGGACAAGTAACTGATCGAGTTCTGTGACCAGTTCCGCAAGATACGGAACACTGAAAATTAGATTCAGATTCAAAGTAAGTTATGACAGAGGAAATTTGTATGAATAGACGAAAACTGGTAAGTTGCTTGATATTCGCGGATCATCTGCATATGGGTAAATAAACAGACAATAGGCAAATAGATAGGAAGATACATATTTGGGAAAGAAAGGTTTTGGATTTCAACTTCTAAAAATATATTCCTTTCAACTTAGAAAGATCCGTAGTAGATCAAATTCTGAACTTTAAATGCTCATCGAAATTGGAAGAGTGTAATAAATATTTCGAAGATACCTATATATGAAACAAAATATAATTGAAAGATGAAATGAGTCATAATCCACAGTGCAAAATAGTATTGAACGAAAAATGGAACATGAAAATACTGCATTATTGGGAGTTTGAGGTTAGTATTTTCAGGGGATATGGATGAGAATTTGAGTATTTAACTCTCTGAAAATAATCAGTTTTTCAAAAGTTTTATGTTAAATGAACTTTTGTAGGTTGATCATGTTTTTTTTGTTCATAATGTTATTGTCGGATTTCTCAACTATAAGCATAATGATATTTTGAATGACATATACACTGTAGAATGGTTTGCTCGTATGCCAATTTGACTTACATACTATTCCAAGTTCTATTTTACTCATATCATATATGGAAATCTAACTGTTTGGATATTTGTTGATGAGACGAAGAAAAACTCAAGAATTTGGATATTTGGATGGAATTTGGCGAAGAGAGTTTATAACTTGGTACATTGAATGATTTAATTTCGGTGAATAATATGACCTAATTTATATCAACACCACCCTCACCACTTTGATATAATAAATGTCATTCTAATAACTGATGATGTCATCAAGGTGATCTTGGGAGATATATCTGATGCATAGGTGTGAATGGTGTCATAGAAATGTTTTTTAATACTAGCGAATAGCATCATGACATTGGAATGTCTGTTGTCTGTGATAACATTTTGTGTGTTTGTGACGGGAGTAGATTACATACACGGTAAACACAGGGTTTGACATTGTCCTCCATATCAAAGTACACAAACGTCTGCATAGTTCAAAGATCCACCAACTAATAAACGGTCCTTCCTGTTAGCTCATCAAGTTGATGAGTGGTGAGAAGAGGTCGTGAGAGCAGCAAACAAAGCTATTACGTCCGCCTCTGGGCATGGAGAGGGACATGTGTACCCCACAAAGTTTCACTCACTGATGTGTACTCATCGCTGTGCCAAATACCTCTTCCAAAGCTGCGGTGGTGGGGCGGGTGCGACTTCACTGCCTCTAGAGGTAGAGAGTGCACACGACAGCACTCCACTGCCTGCTTGCATCACCTTCTGTTAGAGCATTGAGATCGGATGGGTGATGAGGTTGCCTGGGACATGAGGTAGTTAAAGTGGAAAACAGTTCATCCAAAGGCGGACGTGATAATTTCATTTGCGGCTGCTGTGACCTCCTCTCACCACTCGCCAACTCGAAGATCTAACAAAAAGTACCACTTATCAGTTGGTAGATCTTACAACTACGCAGACGTGTGTGAAATCTGTACAAACTTGTATAGAGTACACATGAAGCACAATGTTGAACCCTGTTATTACCTTGTATGCAATACACCCCTTCACAAACACATAAAATGTCATTTTGGACAACGGAAATTCTAATGTCATGACGTCATTCATATTCAATGATAGTCTCAAAGGAAAATTTCCATGTCGCCATTCGAACTTATACACCCGACACATTTTTCAAGGTCACTTTGATGACATCATCGGTAATTGAAATTTCATTTATTACGCCATAGTGGTGGGGGAGACCTAGAACCGGCTGCAATCTCCTACTAGTTATTGATAAACTATCATCTGCATTCGACTTCTTCTGCAGTATAAAATATTCAAGTGATTAGAATTCATACGTTCTTTTATAAGCATCAAATGATTTATTATTTCCCACCTTCACAATATTTTTCCCAAACTCTCTCCTGCTCAGCAAATCGAATTTTATTGATTGTTCTGTTATATAGTGAATAAGTGAGAAATTGAGTGAAAGCCAAATATTTTTTGTAAAAAATGTTTTGCTTTTTACTTCTCCATATAACGAAAAATGTGAGAAACTTTCGAAAAAAAATATCTACAATGAAAGCCCTCATTAAAGATGTGTAGTTCATACNTTAGTTATCACTTAGACTTTCGCAAGCACTCAACTGGCAGATCCTAGTTTGACTAGTGGGCTTCGGGATTGAACATTGAGACTCGCTCACAGGGACTGAACCCGCAACCAGATCTTGCCTGCACTCGGGAATGTTCTGCTGGACACCGTCGCCACAAGTGACGCTGCAATCTGTCCACCTGGAGTGCCAAGAGGGTGGACAAGGTTCGGTATTGCAATGAATCGGTGGTGGAGAAGGAGCTCTCAAATGGGCGCACTTTCTTTCAGACACTGGCACTTGAGTTTGACCCGCTTCCCTAGTGCAAACTCTCACGTAGTTTTGAAAACCTGCGATAGAAAATTAATTTCAAATGGTGTTGAATACATTGTTATTAAAATCTTTTAATCAATGAATTATTGGGTGAAAATAAGACAAAATTCTGAAATAATTTTTCATGTTAACTAGTTTAGTGATCCAATAATTTTTCTGAAAAAGGGGCTGGTTGGGTAACAGACGAGCCCTGAAGAAAAATTTAATTAAAATCGAAACGTCGGCAAGAGTACAATTGTTTTTTTAAGAGAAAAAAATTGATCCTGTTACCCAACCAACCCCCTTTTCAAGATTATTTCAAGTGTCTGGTACTTGTAACTTGTTAGAATATGAATACATGACTACTTTTTCTTATTTAGATATACAGTATCCAAAAAAAGTCTAATCCATGTGAACATTTTTTCATTATTTAATTTTTTTGATCTGACTATTGAATTTCGATTTTATCTGATGAGGTTAGCCAGAAAATGAAAGTTTTATTCATAAATTAAGAATTCCTTTTGTGAATTATCAAAAACTTTCATTAAGAAAGTTATTTGTCTACAAACTCTTTTCAGATTTGAAATTCACAAGAATTCACAAGAAATTGTCAAAACCAGGATTGATGAACAATAGATTTTGAATTTTCATTGAAAATAAGTGATTATAAAAGGAGAAATGGGAGAAAATGTTTTGCTGGGGGTCAGCTAAAATACTAAAATATTCATGAAAGATATTTTGCGTGATACTATTACAAGTGAGACGTTAGTGACAAGTTATCTGAATGTTGTGCACAGATTCATATGAAAATAGGAAAATATAGAGAAGTGCAAACATATTTTTTGATTTTAACATATCTCGAATGGAACTATACCTCTGATATTATGAATAGTGTAACGTATTTACATATCTTTATGTTTGGATCAGAATATGTTAATGATTAACAATTTCAATTCGATGAAGCTCTTTATACAGAATTATATGGAATATACGAGTATGTTACCGCCGAAAAAGGAATAGTATTTTGCAGTACCGATGACTTCAATTGCAGTGAAAAATTTCGATATTTTGGAAATTAGGGTTTACTCCTATATAGAATTTCAATTCATGATATTTCTAGTATATGATGAAATAAATTTGAAATTTGACTATTGCATTTTGGGAAAATGAAGCAAATTTGAAAAAAAAACATGGTGACTGAAAAATATTCAAGAATAATAATAATTCTGTGGTCGAAAAGACATTCATATTGTATCATGATAGAATGATAACTGCAGACCTCTTGAAAAGTTTTTGAATCTTGGTGAGTTGGCTGTAAAACACGTGTGAATATCCAAAATCCACTGATTCCAGTGCCATTTGGTACTGGAATCATGGGAGAACTAAGTGTGTGAGATAAAATTGAACTTGTGCGCCTTGTCGGAGAAAAGGGAAGCTGCCAGAGAATTTCAAAACAGACATCCTGATAAATTTCCAGTGAGCAGCGGGTTGTGTACCGAGGCATATGTTCAGAAACAGAAATAATCCACATTATGAGAAAAGAAATGTTGTGGGAATATTGCAAAATTTTCGTAATAATATCCATTCAAATTTGTGAATGGCAAGTTTGAACTCAAATATCCCTAGAGAAAATATCAGGAAAAGCATTGTGAAAATTTAAAAATAAAACCATTCGAACCAAAAATTTCACTTACTCCGGAACCGAGAGATGAAGAAAGAAGGTTATGTTTATGAGCTCAACGAGGATATTTGAATGATATAAAATTCTTCAAAATAATTTTGTTAGGTGATGAAGCTACCTTCACTACAATAGGAGTACCCTCGTTCGAAAATCCAAGATACTGGTCTGCGTATGATCCTAATTGGGTTATGAACGCAAAAAGATAATACTTCCATAAAATAAATGTGTGGTGCAGAATAATCCATGATGAGATTATCGGTTCATTTTCCTTCGAAAGTAATGAATGGAAATATATTTTTAGACTTTTTGAAGAAATGAGTTTTGGAACGCAATACATACATGAATTTGATATTTCAATTAGACGGATCTTGATTTGAATGTTGATAAAGCTACCGTGTTAGCGAAACTATATTTTTCAAATAAAGTTTGTGGCGATCAAATTGTGAGTTGTAGTTTATGAAATGGATATTTTTTGATGATGATATACCACCATTTGAGACAGTGCCCAGTCCAACAGTGATTCTCCTGCATTTTAACCTTGAAAAATTTTCACTTTGCCATCTAGTAACGCTTGACCTTATATTTATTATGATTGGAAATTCTTTATCATATTGAACGGTCAAATAGGACCCATGAAGATAAGCTGCATAACTAAACAAAGAGGGTGATTCGTAAAATATTTTTTTGCAATGAATGTCTAAAAGTTTGCAAAAACCTTCTTCAGAACACTATTATACCATATACCAAGCATTTTCTAATGAAGCTGCATCAATTTGTAATCTTCAAAATCGGGGATGTGGAATGAATTCCTTCTTACAGGTAATTACTATGAGAAATCAGCCTGTGGACCATAGTCAACATCCGGAAATCAGCTTTACCACAGTAATTTCCGGCCATACGAATATAATCTGCAGCTATTCCAATCCAACGTTGATCCAGATTTTCGCACAATACCTTCAGGTCGCCTTGACAACTTTAATCCTATGTTTATGCCTGTTTACTATATAAGTAATTGAAGTGTAGCCCCCATAGCCCCGACACATTCGGAGGTTGCGCTGGCGTCATTAACCAATGACCAATAGCGTGAGGTAAATGATTATTAGCTTCAAGAATCATGTGCCCTGAGCAGGCGCAAACAGCCGAGGAAGACAACCTTCTGCAATTTTCCGGCTGAAATTTCTGCCATATTGCAACAAGCCGGTACGATCTTGAGATTGGAGATAAGGGAGGGCATCATTCCACTATTTTCACAGAATGATCCAGATAGGGCCTGGGGGATTTTGAAAGAAAATCTCCATTTTCTTTTTTTCTACTTCTATTTTTGAACAATATTCGCCTCACACGGAAATGAAAACTACAAATATTGTTTTACTCTGATGATCAAGAAGGATTACATCAGGCTTATTTAGTTCGCATCAGCCAGAGAGCGGAAAATGAATAGTTTTAACACGTCTCATTCAATATTCCACGTAGCACGAAGCAACTCCAGTGCCTCGTCAATTCCGTAGGAGTATCGAAGGTGGTAACAGGATACTCTTAGGGCCGACTTATGTCGACATGCACAGGCTGAGACCTCATATGCTGAACATACTGACACCTGGTATGTTTAGCATATGAAGCCTATGAAGGTGAAGTGAATTTCAATAGTAATTAAAGTGATTGGCCTATTTTCGTTCAAATAAAAAAACTGATTTGTGTCACAATATGGTCTTTTTTTGTATGTATGTATATAGTAGGTAGGGTGAGTGTTCACCCACGGCATGTGACCCATTGTACATCCTCCCAAGGAGTTGTCCTCCTAGGTCATTGTCCATCCTGTCCTTTCCAGAAACCTTACAGGTCACTAGGAAACATTTCCTTTAAATCGGCAGGTGTAGGCCAAGACTAGCAGAACACATTCTCTTTTGCAACCTTGAGGTATCTCATGACGGCCTCCGCGAAGGTTTTGGAAGGTGCAGTGATATTATTGTCGTTGCGCGGCTTCTTCTACCTTCCTGGGGTTCTCCTAATGGAGGTGTTCAAGTGAGGGCGCTTTCCTGCAGGGGCAGCCGGTTCCTCGCCTTTATTCAAGGCGGAGATCTTGGCGCCTGCCGCAGGAAGTGCCCTTGCTGTTGGAGGTGGAGTGGGGGAGGAGGAGAGTGCACTTATAGTTTCTGCCACTCCTATTACATCACGAGGTGATCTGGTATGTCCAGCCTCTTTCCGAGCGGTAGATTGGGGTGGACATTTCTGTTCATGCCCAGCCACCGCCATAGATTGAGGTGATCACTTCTGTCCAGCTTCGGGATTGGTTTTTGTTGTGTCTGTTTGTTTGTTTCATATATGTGTGTTCCCACGAGTAGCANGTTTAATGTAATAAACCCCCCTCTAGTGCCTCGGGAACGTATTACCTCCGTTACATATCAAACTAGGATATCCAGATTGTTTTCAAAATTGAGTGCTGAGAAGTGAAAAGCTGGAATTAGAAAATTAATAAACAATGTGAATTTTACTGAAAGTAAGGCAACCGCTGAAAAAAATAACTGTAATGAGTTTGTTTGGCGCGTAAAAAACTTTTTGGGAAATAGTCCGTTGACTTTCCTGACCACGTCAAGGAGTTACTATATTACAAATGCATTAAGATGCATTTTCTTCAAAGCCACTTTGATTGATTTCCTGAAAATCTTGTAGATTCAAACGAGGAGCAGGGAGAACGCTTCCATCAGGATATTCGTGCCATGGAGGAGCTCTACCAGGGCTGTTGGAGTGAAAGTATGATGGCTGACTACTGTTGGATCATCCAGAATAGTAGTAAAACTCCAACTCATTCAAGAAAGTCACATAAAACAAAGTTTTGTTCTGATTAGAAAGTGAAATAAGTTGTTATATGATGGAAAACCATATTTTTCTGATAAAAATAGCTACCCTTCATATCTCAAAAAGTAGAGCTGCTACCAAATATCCGAGTACAGATTTGGAATCAAGGTAGAAAATACAGCTAGATCCATAAAAACAGTCCATGCAACAAAAATGCTGTTGTGCAGTGAGATTCATGTGGAAGAAGTTGTTTTGTTGAAAAGGCTTTTTCTTACAGTTTGTACCTGAAAGTACAAAGATCCATATGCACACATCCACATGTATACAGTTTATTTCGATTTCGTTCTGGAAGTTTTCCATAATTTTTTGTATGAAAATGAGGAAGTTACAGTCATGAAGTTTTTTTACCCTACTGTCTTTTTACTATCTTCCCAACGATGTATCACAAGCTCTCGACTATGCAACTGACCTAAATCACGTAACGATTGGTTTGAAAAAACTAGTGTGACATGTCGGTTATACTTTAGTTGAGGTGTTTCAGGATTTTTTTATGATCATATA